CGTTTCACTTTTTAAATTGTTGCCACCAAATATTAGAGTCCTGTATTATATTTAAAGGAATTAAATAATGAGCTGCATGAATGTATGTATTTTAAACGCATTGTGATAAAACAACAGCAGCTAGAGCCATCCAATTTTGAATAACGTACGTTTCCACCTCAATATGGGAATCTGGAAGCCCAAATTCGAAATTTGTATTATTAATTTCCTATTTTGTAAAACTCTAACGAATTTTTGATTAGTAAACTCAACGATTTCAAAGCGAGCAATGGCAACGGTGCACGGAAAAGAAAAACATTTTTATCTCCAGCGCGCAAGTCTCTGTATCGCAGATTCTAAAGACATGCTGTTTTAAAATTATTTTGCGATTATTTGTTGTTTAATTGAATTTTAAGTGCGAAGTACATGATATTCAATAAATAAAGGTAACCATAAAACGTAAAAAAATCTGATGTGTACACCACATGACTTCCTTGTATTGGAATATTAAATTATACGCCTTTTTTCTTGCATTTCATTTAAACTTATGGATTGAATTAAATCTACTTCGCCGACAGCGCATAAACCACAATAGAATAAATGCATTCTTTAAAATTCACTCTAGTTTTGTTTACCATAGCGACACTCTGGCGCTAGATTCACTTAACAGTATTAAATAATATAACAGTTAACTATATAATTATATAACGGAAATTAAGTTAACTGTTATATAATCCAATAATTATATAACAGTTAACGTATATATTTCGTTCATATTGTAACTCATAATGCACAAAATTTATATCATTTAAAGAATAGAATTATTTAATCGTTGCCACATGTTCTATTCAAATACTATAAAGCTAGAATGATGTATAAAAGAAATTAAGCAAACAAAACAAAAAAGAAACAGTTTTTCACAGACGATTGAGTATTTCTCATTAAATTAATTCAGTTCTCACTTCGCGAGAAGGCAAAAATACATAAAAACTCAAAATGTCTATATTAAAAATTACGAAGTAAATCTCAAACACTTATTTCCTTGAAAAAATTGCAGAAAGAATTAAGCATGATTTAATTCGCAATAATAAATGAAGGCGTTATCTTTGTTGTTGCGAAGCTAAGTTTCTCTAGATTGGCAACAAATCCACTAGTCTCCTGTTTCAAATGTAAACATCAATGGCCGCCTTTAATAACAGGCTTAGCGGCAATTAAACAACTTTAAAATTGCGATCATTCTAAAAATATTGCACACAGATTTACTAAAGGCATAAAATCCTTAACCGGAAGATAAAAACAACACAATTCAATCATTTTTAAAGCAAAAAATGTACAATTTACAAACATATAAGAGTAAAGAAACTCAGATCACTGAGCCGGGTAACAGAGTGGATATATACTATATAAATATACTTATATACGTTTGGTGCGGCCGATTGCAACCAAAATACGAGGTGTACATCTACATGTTATAGCAGTCCTATATACGAAATTTCAACGTTCTGAGGCTACTCGTTTTTGAGTTATGCGAGATCCGTACGTACGTACATACGTTCGTACAGACGCCACGAAAAATTCTCTTCAGAATTCATTCAAGCAGTTTTATAATTTTTTTGGAGGAAAAGAGTCTTTTATTCTGTCCTTACGTACAGATATGACGCAAAAACATCGTTAAATTGCATTCGATAGCGGTCAAAATGGATATTTTCGTTGAAATATGCTGCCTGAAACTTTTCGCGATTACAATACTTCCTTTTTACTTCGTACAAGGAAGTAAAAAAGGCCCCTTTCGCCGTAATGTAAACGTAACGTAACTTTATACCCACCCCGTGAACTGAATCACATAATGGGGACCAATATGAAACAATTAGCCAACGCAACGATTTCGGGCGTCTTTAGACACACCAGCTGGGCCCAGGGACCCACAACCCCGAGACACCAACTATTGTTAGGCTTCCTCTAAATCATTACCGCTAAACACGGGCCAGCCAGAGCCACCGCCCCGGCCGGACCGAGACCACGGTGGGGTGTGTAGATGACAACTTGCAGCGGGAGCGGGTGGAGTGGGTAGATGACAACTTTTTCGCTACCTGCCAGCACTAGGCGTGATGCCCCTCTCCTTAGGCTTTACATGGAATACCAAGGGCAGCAGTAACCAGACTCTCAATGGTCCAGTTTGCTATTTGGCTACCAATATCCTGTTGGATGAGGACTTACACCTCCCGGCCCATGAAGAGTGAATATAGGATCCACCCCATGGGCCATCGGGAACCGCCAAGTTCAAAAATTTTATACCCCTGTTGCCGAGACTGCTTAGGTATAAATCCTAGCCAACAGCTTCGCAGAGTTCTCTACGTTGACCCCCGGGGGGGGGCGTAATGTAAAATCCGAAAACATTCAGAATTTCCCCTTCCCTTATTTGTGTGTGTGGGTCTTTTTAGCTTTATTATTAGCCACCGTTTCCTTCGCTCTTACTGCACATAGCAAGTCCACATATCCTTCGCAATTACTCCTATTCAGTTTTCTTAGATGGACAACGAAAAAATTCTTTTTACGTGTTATCTTTATTTATTATATATCACATTCTTCGCTCTTACGCAATATGGAATTCAGTTCAGTGGCAAAATCACAAAATATTGCGTACTGTTTCGTAATGGATTCAATGCAGACAGAACCGATAACAGCTTGATAAAATTTATTTTTCCAAAAGAAACACAGTTCTAGAACTTTCCACAGAAGTATTCGTACAGCTGTTCTCAGTATGAAAGAGCGCAACAAGTAGTTACCACTTTAAACTACTAAGAACGTAAAACGGCATCCAATGCAAAGCGCATACAAAGAGCGCAGCTCGCATGATCTCACACTATTACGTCAGCTTTGACATTAAACTGGGAACTGATGCTCTCTCCGCCGTCTTAAATGGTTTCTCCCTGGCCGCCGAAAAATCTCCAGTACCTTCCATTTCTTGAAATCAGCGCTAAAGTTACGTATAAGTGCCAGATACGGTAACACTTACATATATCGATGAATTAGTTATTCAATTACTGTACCAATTACAGTTATACACAGACCGGATTAAAATTGTTGCCGAGTTTGAATACTTTTAGCGATTATTTGCAAAATTTGGCGGCAAAAATGAGTCCTAAAATCATCGCCAGCTTGGCGATATCTCGCCCATTTATCTCTGTAATCTCATTTCTCCGGCGAAGCTTAGCTATCTTCAGACTTCTCATGCGACATTATAAAGAAGATATTAAAGTTTTAGGCATAACTCACTAAAATTATTTACGTATTTTAATATCTCACGCGTTTTGGTAACGTGCACTAAATCAAGACTAAGCCACTTATTGTTGTGTTTGTATATAAAAATAGAAATCTACTAGGGGTGTAAAAGACTTTTGTACTATGAACTGAATAAGCTGAACAGAAGGCACTCCCACTTACAAATCAGCCAGGATTTAAGGCGTGAACAGTATTTTAAATTGAAACTTTAGCCTTTAGTCTTTAGCCAAAGGCTACGCAGCTATATTTAAACGCGTAAATTAGCTCAATCTACATCGGCATGACAGCACTATGGACAAGATTAAAGCACCGCCGTAAACAGGAATGCTTATCAGTCAGCAAGCAGTAACGTGGCCGTCAAATAAGTGGACGTGAGGTAAAATTTGCATTTTATATAATTAAAAAATTTTCATTAATAAGTAGTTAAAATTATTAAAATTGCATTAAAAAGTAAAAAGAAGTATTCTTAAGATCTGTGTTTATTGCTTTTAAACACTTACTAAGTTAAATTTGAAAGTCTCTTAGGTCTTATATGGTTTGGCTTATTTTTGAAAGAGTCATCGCTATTTTTTGTGATTATTCCTTAATTTTTGGAAATCAGTCTAAAATCGGTGACGTCATTTCAAAACTGAAACTGTGTAGAAATATCAGTATCTATTTAATGTAAAAAATAAATAAATAAATAAAAATTCCTGGCTTTGCATACGCCGGTAGCATAGGCATGACTGCATTTGATAGCGGAAATACAACAACTGCGGCTTAAAGCTGAGGTGAGTGTTGTAAGCGCAAAGTTCTAATATAAATGCCCTGAGCTTTTGTCCCGTGTGGTGCTTTTCGTTTCATTGAGCTATTGGTAGAGTATTAAAGTAAAAGCCTAATATACGATATGGCTTTGACGTGATTTTGAAAATTGTTGCTAGTACAAAAATGACGCATGGGAATTGTATAGCTTCCCAAATTTCGCCACATCTCATCATATACTCGAATTAAATCGAGAATTAATTCTTAAAATATCCCTCCGATATTTTATGAACATTTATATTACTGCAAAATTAATAAAACGCATTTTGAACGCTATTTATTACGTATTCGTTGTCAGGAAAATCATTGTTCACCTTCAAACACAGAGTATGCTACACATTCTCTGTGACATAGGTAACAATCGAATTTCAAATTAATATCTATTGTTACTGCAAGATTTACATTTAAACATTTCGATAATAAAATCCAATTTCCATTTCAATTATAAAAGAAAGCAAAATCCTTGATTTAAACAAATCGCTGACAATTCGCGGAGAAGAAATAGCGCCTAAAACCTTTCGGGAGTGTCACGTGGTATACAGCAAGGCCAAGTTGGCCTTGTATACAGCCAGTGACAGTGAAGATAAGCATTTTCTTTTCCTGGTCTTGAGACGCCTGTTGTCATAGAGACATAGGTTATCAAATAGAGACATAGATAATTTCAAATTAATTAGTTAAAAATATTAATATTAGGGTTGGATTCATAGAATGAAACCTGTCAAACTGCTCCTTGCATTTAATTCACCTAGTTCACCTAGCCGAGTTTCGTCGTAACTAAAATTTTTTTAAATGGTATATTTTAGCTCATATTCTTAACAATATGAACAATTTAAGACAAGTTACACGAAATCTTTTGCAATCACTTAAATAATTCATTACCTGATAATGGTTCTTATTTCCTCCTTCTATTTATTTTTCTCCTCCAGGGCAAAAACACTCAAATTAAGGTGCACAACAAGTTGTTCGTGTCTTGTTTCCTTTGTTGGTACAGGAAGAGGGAAATTGAAAATGTATTAAAGTTTGTTACAAGCTCCGGAACATTTGCCGTATTGCAAACAAAGTATTATTTGACAAGGTATTTGATAAATGATATATTTATAGGCATAGTTTTTTTGATATTGAGAATATATCTTAAAGTTTTACTGTAGTTTCTTTGAAGAGAGGTTTTGAGTCAGAACTGAAAATTGAAAACAGACTGTTATCTCATTCGTGGTGTAACGTTTCCTTTTTTTTAATATAATATGATTATCAATTAGATCTTTAAGATTCAGAATTGGAATTACTTTACCTAGTAAAAAAATAACTATGGTCTTTATCTGTTATGCGATGTGTGACAGGTAATATGGGTTCATTTAAATGCCTTGTATTAAAAAATTTAAATGCCATAAAATAAATTTTTATTTTATGAGGACTATATTTGAATACATTAATAAGGTATTCAGACAATAAGTCCTAAGATATATAAGTTAAAAGATAATACTATCAGAGCAATGAATGACTATATTCTATCAGATTATTATTAATTATTAAATATATATAATAACATAAATTTAATCTTTCGAGCCTAAATATAGTATTTATTTCTTAAAAGTGTTTGATCCACTTTTTTTTTTTTTTTTTTTTTTTTTTTTTAAATTTGTCATACATAATTTTTTTAACTTAGAGTTTATGAATTATGTGAATTCAGGTGCACAATTGCAACAACACAACTGCAAGAGAACTTTAAAATACTAACACTTTTCCATTACAGCACTGTTGTAATTTTAATAATGAGGTGTAATTAATATTTTATGTTTTGGCCTTTTATCTTATAACAAGTGGAATTTTTTTTTTCTCCATAATGTGCATTTTACTTGATCATCTTCCCTCAGTATTGTGCATTTTGTGTTCAAACATTTTCTTTCAGTATGGCTGATATGACACAACGTACCATTTTTGTTTTGTGCGTTGTATTTTATCTCTGTAAAGGCTGTGTAAGCTGACTTCTTGATCATCCGGGCAAATCAATGTATGCATAACTAGAAAACACAGATCAACCAAAAATGGTGGTGTAAAATTGAAAATAATATACAGGTATCATAAAAATGAAGTGTTCAGAAATTTGAAATTACTATATTCAACGTATGCTGTGTTATTGAAACCATGATTTAGTATTAATAATTATACATTTTATGCACATTTTTATTTTCTTCTGAAAAAAATCTACTATAAATCTTTCTTTCTTGTTCCTCCTCAGAGAGAAGAAATCAATATCATACTGATATATATACATCATTGAATCATACTGATGGTAAAAATATATTTACGGGTACCCCTTGGTGATAATTGGCGATTTTGGGCAGTGCATGGGTACCAAGTTTGTGCAACTCTTTGGCTTATGTAGCGGCAATTTTTGCACCAAAAGTCACCGGTACAGAAAGCCAAAATAACAAGACAAAGAATTGCATAAACTCGGTATCTGTGTACACAATGATCTATTTTCACTTTAAAAAAAATAAATAAATAAAAATCAGAGAATTGCACAAACTAGGCATTGCGCACTCCCATGACTTGTACACATCAAACTATATCCATATAAACCATGTACACATCAAACTATATTCATTTAAAAAGTTAAAGGAACAGCCAACAAAAAATATATAATCTCAATAAACTATATTTTAAATCAAACAAGGAAATGACATAAAAAAGGAAATTCATCTTTGCACTACACAAAGGAAATATCCACTTACCATCTTATTTACGAATTAACATGTCTTCAGACACAAAATTCCTTAATAGCATCCAAAATCTTCTTAAAATTATCTGAACTAGAATCTGTATACTGGCGTCGCCACATAAATTCACAAAATAAGAGTAAAAAATATCCTCCGTAGCGACGTTTATTATCCGACGTTTGACTATACACATTTCCTTCCTACAAACAGGATAGTTGATAATGGCTACTAAGTAAACTTTCATTTACACACCAGTCAAATAATGCTCTTTTCCCCTTTCTTTCCAAATCTTTCAGAAACTTCAAATTAATTTTACCAAGTTCAGCCATTTTTTCATCTAAACCACAAAATAAGCAACATACTTCCTAACCAACACACACAAACAAGCTCGGTTAATCTTTGGATTATGGTAGCCTTTCGATTTTTTGGTGAAAATTTGGCGACCAACTCTGCTACAGCAACCTGCTAGTTTTTGTTTGGACGCCATTTTGTTTTCACGAAGTAAAGGCATGTTTTTTTTTTTTTTTTACTCAACATTTTTTTCCAACAATCTGCTAACCGAATTACGCTTATGCTAGAACTTTTATGGAACAAAAGTGCTTAATCATGACGAAGATTAGGTGCGAAATTGGGAGAAAGTGCAGAATCGCAAACTGCCGTTTTTAAGAATTGCACATACACGGTATCCATGTACATGTCGACCTATTTTCACGGCTGATCTTTACAATATGGTAACTGGTAGTTTGCCGACATTTTGGAGGCGATAAAGGTTACTACCTGGGACTTTGGTAATAATGTGAGCAGTACTCAGTTCCGATTACGCATTATTTTGTGTTAGGGAAATGAGAGATCATGTGATATTAATGGACGAATTACGGTTCTTTAATCGGAAAAGGGGGGAAATCGAGAAAAAATCTGGAAATTTTGTATTTGCCTTTATTCTGTGTTGTGTGAAACAGTGTTCGTTAATTATTGGATCCCATGGCCCTAACTAAAGTGAATTCGAAATGGGTATTTAGTGGGATTGAAAGGGGTAATAAGTATTTCTTTAAGGTTGTGCGAGATAGAAGTAAAGATGTTTTATGAAGTTATTATTTTTACCTGGTATCTTGGTGTGAACTATAAGTAGATTTTAAAGATCCTGAAACAGAAATAAGAAAAGTTTATCGGACACGTAATCAAGATTCTGAAGAAGAATAGGTAAGTTAGTATTTTTAATTATTTGAGGATATTATTTTTATGCATTGTTCTAAATGTAAGGCGGAAGTAAAGTAATTTGCGTAAACGTACATGGAAATAATTTAAATATTTGACACTAAGTATTTGTAACCATTTGTTATGAAGTAAAGGTATGAATTAGTTAGTGACATTTGTAATATAATAGATAATGTAGAGGTAAAAGTTTTTGGATATTTTATTTATTTTATACGGGGAAATGTTCATATTTGGAAAGGGTATGTACTTTTTCGCGATCAGGTAATTTCATATATGTTCTTTTTACCGGGTTTAAAGATTCAGAAAATTGTTATGCATTTTCGTGAAATTTTTCTAATTTATGAGAAAACAGCAGTGTACATGGATATAGTGAAGAGTGTACGCAATGCCATTTTTGTGCAATTCTGGGATGTTTTTTTAAGTAAAAATAAGTCGACGTGTACATGGTTTAGTGATATTTTAATTAAATGATAGTTCAAAATCGTAAAAAACAACCTTATATTTAGCGTAGGTATAATGAAAACGCTATACCTACGCTAAATATAAGGTTGTTTTTTACGATTTTGATTGTCACTCAGCGTGTTTCTCTTCTAGTCTAAATGATAGTTATTTTGTGAATTTTATGTTTGTAGGAATTTGGTATACGTTTAAGTTGAAGTAAACGTGCATGGAAATAATTTAAATATTTGACACTAAGTATTTGTAATGCTTGCGGTACGAATTCGTTGGTGACGTGTATAATATAATAGATGATTTAGAGGTAAAAGTTTTTGGATATTTTACTTATTTTATATGTGGAAATGTTCATATTTGGAAAGGGTATAAACTTTTTCGCGATCAGGTAATTTCATATATGTTCTTTTTACCGGGTTTAAAGATTCAGAAAATTGTCATGTATTTTCGTGAAATTTTTCTAATTTATGAGAAAAAAGCAGTGTACACAGATATAGTGAAGAGTGTGCGCAGTGCCATTTTTGTGTAATTCTGGGATATTTTTTTAAGTAAAATAGTCAGCGTGTACATGGTTTATGTGTATGTGTTATTTTGAAAAACGCGTAAGGAGTATGGTATTGTGCACTTTTTCCTTCCCATTTTGCAGTGAATATTTGTCATGATCAAGCAGTTTTGTTAGATAAATTTCTAGCATTAGTGTAATTCGGCTAGTAATTGTTGGAAGAAGTGTTTCAGTAGATAAAAAGAAAAGAAACATGTCTTTACTTCGTGAAGACAAAATAGCGGCGGGAAAAAAAAAAAAAAAAATAGAGGGTTGCTGTAGGAGAGTTGGTCGCCAAAAAAACGCCAAGTTACCATAATGTAAAGATCAACCATTTTCACAAAAAAATCCCAGAATTGCACAAATATGGCATTGCGCACGCTCTTGACGTTATCCATATACACCGCTAAAGTCCTAGTTAGTGACCTTTATCGCCTTACCAAAATGTCGCCAAACTATCTGTTACCACATTCCAAAGATTAGCCACAAGCCCTTATAAATTTACCGCAATCATGCAACCGATTATGTCATAATAGGGTTTTCATAAAATACTACTCGGGCTACTATAAATGAAACAACAACTTGGCAATAAATGAAACAACTGAATAATACAAGAGGCATTCTTCTCTCTACTCTAACCCATACTGATATACATACAGGCAGTGTTGTAAATAGTATACAAAGCTTTGGTATCATTAAATATGAACTTGAGTAATTTATTCATTCAGTCTAACATCACTGCACAGTGCCTTGTGATGGCTGTCTTTGCTATTTTATATTTATTATTCATTTATACCCTTCTACTAACTGCTATGGAATATGGAACTGCACATGGAAAGTCATGCTGTGATTTAATCCTACTGTGTTTGTCATTCTTGGTTTGTCCATCTGTATTTCTGTGTTTTGTTCAGGCTTTTCCAATTCCTTAATACCCTATGTAACATTAGTGATCCCTGATGCTTAAATATCTTACCGAATCTTTTACAGTGCTGCAGAAGAGTTTTTCTAATCAACAATTAGCATTGTACTTTCACTTCATTACTCACCTTAAAAATCGAGATTCTTTCCATTCAAGAGTGTGAATTATTTTGAAAATCCTTTCCGTATAAGTACTTGTATAAGACTTTATTTTTTATATTTTCTTTTTGG